CAATAATTAACGTAGTAGATCCATACTGTAACAAGAATCGTTTTTTTCTTTTTAAACATATTATTTTCCCATCAAATATTTTCAAATACTTTATATGAAAGTGTTTAATTATTGCATTAAAATTAGATCTAAAGAAACAAATAACTTTCATTTAACACAGTTGGTTGGCCACAATTATTTGTTTCCTCTCTCCCAAACCTTACTACAATGACAGTAAAGGAATAAAAAATGAAATAACTCACAAAGACAAAGAGAGCATGAAAAGCAAGAATTTCCCTTATTCCCATGATATATGGAAATAATAAAAGAAAAAGGCTTACATCAAGTCCATACTCAAATCCTCACCTGAGGATAATTTTCCATTGACTTTTAGATGGAGTGAGAGGGATAAAGGGGGAGAGAGAGAAAGAGAGAATCATCTATGTGAGAGAGACACATGGATTGATTGCTTCCTGCATGACCCTGGCAGGGGCTGGGATTGAACCTGCAACCAAGATACATGCCCTTGACTGGTAATCGAACCCGTGACTCTTCAGTCTGCAGGCCAACACTCTAACCACCGAGCCAAACAGACCAGGGTTCAAATTGTGATTGTTTGACATTGCAAGTTAAAATAAAATTCACTTTCATATAAAATAATCTAATGTTCCACCCTTAGTCAATCATGTAAGCTACCAACTTTTTTGTTTGTTTTTTTTATTGATCTCAGAGAGAGTAAGGGAGGGAGAGAAAGAGAGAGAGAAACATCCATCAGTTGCCTCCTATATGAGCCCTGACTGAGGATTGAGCCTGCAACCTGGGTATGTGCCCTGACCAGGAATCTAACATGCCACCTTCTGGTGTAGGGGACGATGCTCCAACTAACTGAGCCACACCGGCCATGGCCAACTCTTTTAAGTTAATAGAAAAATTTCAGTTTCTACATAGTATAACTATAACTTCAAATTCAAGAAAAATAACTTATAAATAACTTGTTATAGGAGTAAAATCTTTCTATTAATTTGAAGAAAATGCAGGAGGTAAAAAAAGTGCATATGAAACCAAGCCTTAATATTAAAACTAAACAATAAAGCAAAAACCTACCATACATACCTATCAGACAGATAGCTTCTGCACCTAGTGAGATTTTAAAACGATTCAAATCTAAATTCCTATAAATGACAAGTTTTAATGAAAACAGTGTCAGAACCATAACACTGCAATAATATAGCTGTTATGAAAATGTTTCCTGTATTCAAAACCTACAATTCTCAAAATGAAAGGAGGATTTACATGATCACTTGAGTAGAATGGCTATAAGTAATCCACTAGCAAGCATTGAATAAGTACTGAGACTGCAGTGGCAGGGTTCACTCGAATGAATGCAAAACACAGGGTGCAATTTCTTTGCAATTTAAACTGGTTATTTAAAATACAGGAGTGAATATAGATACAATTTGGATATACATGCAGCACAGTTAATAGCTATCAGACAGGGAGCGTTGGAAATAAGAGAGGTAAGCTCCTCCATCTAGAAAAATCATAGGAAAAAATTAACCATAATGTACTAGTAGACAATTTTACTGGAAAGACATTTATTCTTTTGGCAAAGCACAGAAAGCTGGATGAACTACAAACTTGGGAGGAAAAGTAAGTTTCATGTGAGGTGCACTGATTACTACAATCATATATGCATTTCAAATATATTACTCAATTATTTTGTAGTGAAATAAAACAGAATCAATTATTATGATGCAGTTAAAATTAATTTATAATTGTTTATTTTTTCTTCCTTTGTTTAATTACCATAAACCTTAGGATTCTTAACATTTTCCTCTCCACTTTAGTTATGTGTTGTTGTTTTTCATTTTTTAAGAAGGCCTGCTAATTTTATATCCTGAGGATTTCAATTTATTGCCAAGAAATATACAACAGTAATCTTTGTTAAACTATCTGCAATTATAATTTAATTCATTCCTTTTTAGATTTAAGCAAAAACATTAAGTACACATAACTACTAGAGCAAGACTAGGTGCTGAGAGAAATATAAAGACAAGTAAGAGAGTCCATTTTTTTCCATTTCATAGAGGAGATAAATGAAGAGCACAGTTTCATAATTTGTAAAATGAAGATAATACCTACTTCACACGTTGCTTCAAGATGATAATGTAACCACTTAGCACAGTGTCTAGTCCTTGATGTGCTTTTAATAAATGGAAGTAGGTGTAGCTGCAACTGCTACTCCTGTATCTACTTTTACAATAATAAGTCTAAAGTTAAAATCCTTAGAATAATATATTTTAGTGTTTTCTACATACCCATCCACATGAGAAAAAGATAGTTTTTATATCCTATTTATAAAATAATAAACTAGCATTAAGAAACTTTATAGAAAAATTTTCAAATGATAAGACATTCTTTTGGAAATTAAAATATAAGTAAGATATTAAGTACTTTGAAAACAATGATGTTAAGATAGTCTGAAAACATTGTTATAAATTTTTTTCCTGCCATACCAAATAACTAACATATCATTAATTTGTTTAATGAATTCCTGGGAAGCAAATATCAATCATTGACTGATCTACCCCTCAGTAGTTGCTTTCTGATTGACTTATAGAACTATATAATACTTCAAGTGAAGGAGGATATATCACATTTTTTTATTAGTAGACTGATCCTTTTAGCAGTTATCTGCCACCCAGTAATCTTCTTAAATAACAGTTACTTTTCTGGAATTATTTGGAAACAAAAGGACAAAGGTACATTAGAAATTATTTTTTAAGAGTTAGTAGTAACTGAATATAAAAATTGGAAAAGAGCCCTGGCCAGTTTGGCTCAGCGGTTGGAGCATCAGCCTGTGGACCAGAGAGTCCCGGGTTCGGTTCCCACTAGGGGCACGTACCAAAAAAAAAATGTAAAAAAAAAAAAAATTGGAAAAGATATACTAATAAACAGGCAATTTATTTAAAAAGGACAAAGTTTCAATATGCATAAGAATATGTCTAATTGTGCTAAAAAGAGGAATATATTTTTAAATAGCATTCCCTTTCTTCCTACAAAATTATCAAGGTTGAACAAAAATGATATTCTATATTGTTAAGTGTATTAGAAAATGGACATTTAAACACTGCTGGTGGAAATTTAAATGATGGCACTTTTCTGGTCGTCATTCCGGCTATGTTTGAAAGCCTTAAAACATGTATATGCTCTGGGCCCACATTCTATTTCTATAAACTTATTTTAGGAAAGTAATTATGGATGTGAGGCATTATATATAAGCTATAAATTTCAGTAGTGAAAAACTAAAAACAACCGAAATAACAGGAACTTTGTTAACTAAAGTATGATTTTTACAATCAGTATTTATTATATAATGGTTAAAATACAACCATATGGAGATAAACAAGATATGAAAAGAATAGAATTCTATGCATCTGTCTAAAAACTGAGAAAGTTCTGTATGTATTAAAATAGAATAATTTACATTGCATATTGCTAAAGAAAAGTTATGTGCATAAAAGTGTACGGCATGCTACTGTGTCTGTAAAAAAATGAGAGAAAAAAAGAATACATATACATACTTGTTGCATTAAGCATACATCATCTCTGGGAGAATAATATGGAATTGCCTCTGGGAAAAATAACTGAATAACTAGGGACACAGTAAGAGAGAGACTTCACTGTATACTCTTATGCACCTCTGAATTTTGAATCATGTGAATATATTTATTTTTACATGTAAAATAATGTCATAGAATATTAAATGACATGGAAGAGAGTTCTACTTTAATTTGGCTGAGTATGCTCTATCAGACCAACCCTCCCTTACATGCCTATAAACTCAGTATAAAATGCAAAAAATTAACTACCTCAAGGCTCTTCAGAGTGAACAAAAGCAGAAACATTCTGAAGGGTAGGTGACATTTGGACGATGATATAATGCACAGGGTAAGTTTCCCTTTCTCTGTTACAGTGTTAGCCTGTGCAAAGCCCACAGTCAATACTGTGCGATACTGGGCAGGTAGCAATAGAAAATTTAGTCTTTGTGGCCTAAAGAAACAGAGGTCAATCATAGACACTAGGAAAAGAAGAGGGAATACCATAAAGGTGAGAGTTAAAGAGAAGAACCACTAAATTCTGTGTAAAAAAAAAACTCTGCCCAAATCTCCAGCTAATTTGTGTGTGGCATATCAGCTAAAGGTAGAAGAACTTAACTGAAATTTGAGCTGCCGACCATGGGATAGTTTGTAGGTTGAGTACAAACAATTAAATTGTCTGTTAAATCAAGAGTTATTTCTTCCCTGGCCAGTGTGGGTCAGTTGGTTGGGTGTCATCCCAGGTGCCAAAGGTTGCTGGTTGGATTCCCAGTCAGGGCACATGCCTGGAGTTGCAGGATCCATCCCTGGTATGGGGCACACAGGAGGAAGCCAACTGATATTTCATTCTCACGTTGATGTTTCTCTCTCCCTCTCCCTTCTTCTCTCTCTAAAAACCAATAAAAAACTCTCTTTTAAAAAAGAGTTATTTTTGCTTAGGTGAATTTTGGTGGTTGGTGGCATTCAAGGAATTGGTTCATGTTCTCTACATTATTGAATACACTTAGGAGCTATTTGTAGTATTCCCCTATTATCCTCCTAATGTCTGAGGGATCTATAATGATCTCTCTTTTCCTGACATATAATTTGCGTCTTTTTTGAACAACAAAGAAAAAAAAAAAGAGAGAAAGAACTCATGGACATGGACAACAGTGTGGTGATTGTTGGAGAGGGGTGGGAAGAGGGCACAGAGGGAATAAATAGTGACAGAAAAAATAAAATAAAAAAGAATGATTACCCTCTCATAACTATAAAACACTTCATTCATCTTAAAAAATAGCTTACAATATCACAATGTTTTTAGTTTAAATAAAACTACATCTTTACTAAGAATAATTCCTCGAAAACATATTTTATCATACCCATATTATATCTACCAAAATAAAATTTTTCAATTTGATATTATTTAAATGATAAAATTACCTTTGTGTTTATTCAGAAGTTTGTAGCCTTCACAGTATCTGCCTGGTGAGACCGTCATCTTGGTTGTGTCAATATAAGAATATGTTGCTGCAAAATCAAACTCCTTTTTACCATCCCACCAACCTTTCTGCTTAGCATAGTTTCTCATGTCTGGATGTTCCCGATCAATCTTGGTCGTTATAGAAAGCTGATTAGAAATATTACGAACTCCCTCTGTTTTCAAAGAAGAAGAAGTGAAGGGAGGAAAAAAAGTGATATTTAACATAATGTACCGATCTGCACATTATGATTCTTCATCACTATTTAAATGTAAATATAGACTTCCAAATTTTGCACCATATGCATCTATTTATCAAATAGATAAATAAATTACTTTCTAAATTAAACTTTTTATTTTGACATATAGATTCACATGCAGTTGAAAGAAGTGATAAACAGATCCTATGTATACTTTACCCAGTTCCCCTCAATAGGAACATCTTGTATAATATTACAACCAAAATACTGGTATTGATATAGTCAAGATATAGAATATTTTCATCACCAAAGGATCACTTAAATTGCCCTTTTATAGCCACACTCACTTGTCTCCCACACCCAGCTCCTCATTAACCCCAGGCAACCACTAACTGTTATCCATTTCTACAACTGTCACTTAAGAATGTTATATAAATAGAGTCATACAGTATATAACCTTTTGGCTTTTTTTCATTCAGTATAATTCTCTAAAAATTTATTCAAGTTATTACATGTATTAACAATTCACTGCTTTTTATTGATGAGTGGTATTTTATAGTATGTATGTATATATGGCAGTTTGTTTAGCCATTCACAAGGTAAAGGACATCTGTTTTGGGCTGTCATGGAAAAAGATGCTGTAAATATTCAAGTACAGGCTCTTGTGTGAATATAAGTTTTTACTTCTCTGGGACAAATGCACAATATTGCATTTGCAAGGTTTAATGGTAGTTTCATGTTTGGATTTTTTTTTATCCTCACCTGAGGACATTTTTCGATTGTTGTTCAGATAGAGTGGGAGGGAGAGAGAAAGAGAGAGAGAAACATCGATGTGAAAGGGATACATCAAGTGGCCACTTCCTGCACAACCCCAACTGGGGCCAGGAACAAACTGCAGCCGAGGTACGTGCCCTTAGCAGGAACTGAACCTGGGTCTCTCTGGACCATGGACAGAGGCTCTAACAACTGAGCAAGACTGGCCAGGGCTCATGTTTGGATTTTTTTAAACTGCCAAACTGTTATCCAGAGTAGCTGTATATTCTTACCATCAATGTATTAGTGATCTAGTTTCCATAGTCTCACCAGCATTTGGTGCTATTATTTTTTTTCCTTCATTGATTTTAGAGAGAGAGGAAAGGAGAGGGAGAGAGACAGAAACAGCGATGAGATAGAATATCGATTGGCCGTCTCCTGCATGTCCCCCAACTGGGGATTGGGCCCACAACCTGGGCATGTGTCCTGACCGGGAATTGAACCAGCAACCTCTTGGTGCATGTGTTGACCAGACATGGTGGTGTCATTTTTAATTTTAGCCATTCTGATAGAGGTATAGTAATATCTCATTGTGATTTTAGTTCGCCTTTCCCTAATAGTTAATGATGTTGAACATCATTTCATGTGCTTTTTTGACATCTGTATGTCCCTTTAGATAAAATGTCTCCATGTCTTTTGCCCATGTTTCTAATTAGATTGTTTTTTTACTGTTGGGTTTTGAGAATTCTTTATATTTTTTAGATATTATTTTTTTATGTGAATTTGTTTTTTTAAATAGTTCACAAACAAGTTTAGAACAGAAACAGGCTTCCAAAAATATCATGTCACTAAGATATAAACAAAATGTTCATCTAAAATACAAATAGAAGAAACAATAAAAGCCTGTGCTAGCCCAGCCGGTGTGGCTCAGTTAGTTGAACACTGTCCCATTCACCAAGAGGTTATTGGTTGGATTCCCAGTCAGAGCACAAGACCACGTTGCAGGTTCCATTCCCAGTAGGGGGCGTGTAGGAGGCAGATGATGGATGTTTCGTTCTCTCCCTCTTCCTTCCTCTATCTCTAAAATCAGTGAAAACATTAAAAAAAAACAAAAAAAAAAAAACAAGCTTTGCTAAAGAGAACAAAATAAATGAAATATATCATGATAAATGAAAATTGATAATGTTTTAAGATGGATTTAGAATGATAGTCTGCCAAGTAGAAATCAATTAAATTATCCTAATGCAGTCATACTTGATATAGTCTCACTATAAAAACTAGACAAGTCATGATAGAACAAATACAGAAAAGAGAAATTTTCCATTTAATAGCTAATTGCCTATAGTTTAACTCTTTAATTCTTAGGGTCATTTAGTAAGGAAGAGAAACCAGTTGGCAAAGTTAATCTATAGCTGGATAATTAGACCCAATGATGGTGTTCATATTGGATAGCTAGCTGGGTCTACTATCTTTTTCAAAATAATATTTACTCATTTCTCTCTTCCAAGTGGCACATTTAATAAAATAAAAAGTGCTTAATGGTACAATAGGCCAATTATCACAATAAGAAAAATAGTCTAAATTCAATTATATGTATTGATTTTTTTACTGTTGTATTAAACATACATGCAAAATGTAAAAGATCCATCAAAACAACTGGCAATGACCTTTCATGAAATATAACATCCAAATTCTCCAAAACTTGAGGATACCTTCATGAAGCCTTTCTGAACTCCTCTGGCTCACAATGCCTTTTACTTTCTCTTAGTGTTTACAGCATTAATATGTCTGTACCATTAATGCAACATTTAATATTTTCACATGTGTATCTTATCTCCCTTGTAAAACCACAAGATCCAGGAGATAAGTACACAAAAAGTAGGTAATCATGCTTGAACACAAGAATGTACTCTAGTGAAAGAACATTGAACTAAGATTCAGAATCAAAAGATTTAAATTCTAAGTCCTTCACTCACTGCCTTGAGTACTTCCAATATCTGGATTTTCTCACTTGAAAAATGAGAGGAAAGTATGATCACAAAGAAACCATGGAAAACAAAACAAAGCATTCTAAAACAATGAAATTGTGTTATTTTACTATGATACCAATTTTTGAATGCTTTACTATTGTATCAACACATTCTTTCCAACCACTAACCTACAGACATCCATCCCTACCCCACCACCACTCCCCTTTTTCACCGCCATACCCACACATGATAAAATTTGGGAGTTCAGCCTAAAGTTAAAAGAGAAAGAAATAGTAAGGGATTGTTAAAAGTGGAAAAGCACTGTAAGGCAGCCAAGAGCTACTGTACAGAAAATATATACAGGTTATTTAAAATTTATATCACATATGTGAAAAAGAGATAACACCACCTTTTTCTCCTTTTCAAGAAAGCTCTTTATAGTGCTCTCTCATTGTATGCTCTTTAAAATTTTTTCATTTCCCCTGTAGTTCAACCCTTCATTGCACTGAATTATAAGTCTTGAAAGACAATCACACACAATGTCTACAATTAAAGGAATTTTATTAATTGTATAACAAATAATGAAAAGTTGTCCATACCGTGTACTTTTTCTGCCGCCCAGTACTTTCCTGCAGTCTCCAGAATCCAGGCTTCATTTCTATCAGCTATCAGGAAACTGTTGTGGTAGCTAAATGCCATACCACCCTCTGAACAATTTCCACCCTGGCCATATTTTTCTAATAAATCAACAATGACATCAAGGGCTTTTTCAGCTGTATCAGCTCTTTCAAGGCCCAATCTAAAATAAAAATATTAAAGTTCTCAGATTAAAATAAATTTCCATTATTTTGCTTAAATAATTTCATGCACATGAGATTTTATGTTTATAGTCAAAGTAAAAATTTCTTCAAGTTAACAGATAAACTGAAAACTTCAGTTTTCAGAAAACAGATAAACTGAAACCCAACTTCAAAATGATTCCTCCTGAAGTCAATTTGGAATTAAAAACAAAGATTTGAAGTCAAATAGATCAATGTTCAAATTTCCACTTGGTAATTTACTGTCAAATTACTTTATCTCTGACCCTCAGATATCACATATGTAAATAAGGATAATAACATATGTCCATGAGGTTACTGTGAGAATTTGTTATGGTCTGATAAAATATGTTAGATACTTCCAATAAATCATGATTATCAACTTTTAGCCTGTACCAGTTAATGATATTTGAGGGTCTTTACACTGCATGCCAGTACTTTAAAGCATTTTTTTACACAAACTATAAAGTATCAAAGTCCAAAAAATAAAAAATATATAAAAATAAAATATGGAAGAGTTACATCAAAATTTAAAATTTAGACAAGTTCTATAGTGCAAAAAAAACAAACAGGAGAATAACCTGACAAGGTCCATGCCCAGTAGTGCCTCTTTGTCACAAACTTCTTCTCTTCCCCAAACAGCTTCATTCCCAATGCAAACTCCATGCTCATTGGCTCCCATTTCTGCTCCCCATAACCAAGCTGGGCGACTGAGAACAACAGCATATGTTTCACGAACTTGATCAATTTCTATGTAAGTACACTGTAAAGAAAATCATAGCAGCAACCATAAATTAAAACCAAAAAATAAAAGTAGTCCAAGTCCAGAATCTTAAAAATAAATCAGAAAACATGACCATTATGAAAGAGATAAATGAGGTATAACTAAATTGAAATTTTCAATAATAAAGGCATTACCCATATTCAGAATTGACTCTGAAGCATGTATTCATTCAAATATTTGCTGAGCATCTCCTATTATAAAGCTTTGCTAAGAGATGAATCAGATACAGATCTTGCTTTCAAGAAATTAAGACTTGTACATTAACTAAGATACAACAAAAATAGGGGGCCATGAAAAAAAATGAAGCTGAGGAACTAACTCAAGCTCAGGAGGGAGATGGTTTCTAATTGTGAAAACTTGAAAAATTTTGTAAAGGAAGATGTATATGAGTTGAAGATTAAGGAAGTAACTGTCGATCTTAATGTCCAATATTTCTTGGTTAGTGATATAAGTCCCATATAGTAGCCCTTATACACAGGGTATTGCCATAGAAGCCCATCCACCTGGTATGTCTGCAGCAGTGAAAATAATGAGAACTACCAGTTTATAAGATATGCTAGACTTACATATAAAGAGACAAAAGTGTAAATGGACCCAAATAAATAATAGTCACAGCAAAAGAAAAACTGGTCTCATATACAGAATACAAATAGCATTTAATATATTTTAGTATCAGAATATCAATGAAATCTAAAAAATAAATGTTAGGCCCTGGCCGGTTTGGCTCAGTGGTTGGAGCATCGGCCTGCGGACCAGAGAGTCCTGAGTTCAGTTCCCGCTAGGGGCACGTACCAAAATAAATAAATAAATGTTAGCTATTGAAGCACAATGTAAAACTTTTACTTGCTAAATTGATTTTTTAATAAAAAATTTAAAGAATACTTTAATTGATCTGTATTTTACCAAATGACTACATAAAATTCATGTTGATAGTGTTATCACTGAGCCAAAAAAAAAATTTTTTTATTCCCAGATAATAAAACTGTTATTTCAGAATCTGGAATGACTTTTCCTATTCTGCACCAATAAAATTCCTTTTTGTCCATCAAATTCCAGCTGAAAACCCAACTCCAGGTGAAGCTTTCCTTCATCCCTAGTGTGGATAAACTCTTCCTTCTCCGCTGCTGTCACAGCTTGATGCTCTTAAATTTCACATTTAGAACATTTTACTTTATAGTGCGGTTAGCTGCATATGCATTCGATCCCTCTACTGAATTCTAAGCTTGACAGCAGGTTTTAAACCCCTGCCTCACATAACAGGCTTACATATAATAAGCATTCAAAAATTTTATCTTTTAACAATTATTATTATCATTATTATTATTATTGTCTCAGCTTCTTCTAAATCATGAAATAAAATACCAGCAGTCTACTTTTGATTCAAGTTATTTTTCAAATTTAAATTCTTGCATTTTTAGGTTCTATAGTATCTTCCAAATAGCTAGCTAATGATAGGGAAAAAAAAGGTTTATAATATTTTTAAAGAAACATATTGCTAACAAAATCTGTAATTCACTTACCTTAAGATGTCCTCTCAAGTTATCGTGAACTGCAGCAGGAAAATAAACTACCTCTTGTACTTCATCACAGAGTCTGTCTGAATTTTTTCCAAAAATAATCCTATTTTTAACTGTTGCTGGAGGTAATGCCACGAAAGTGTCACAGGAACGAGGTTCCATTTTTTTTAAAACTGAAAATCATAGAAGATTCAAAATATAAAGAGAAAAGTATTTTTAAGTACATACATACAGAAAGTTTACTTTACAAACAGGGGATATTATTGCCATATCTAATAAAAGCTATTCATTGAAGTTTTAAACTTCGTGTACTGTAGTACAAAAATCAGTAAGAAAATGAATTGGGAATGAATCTTGTAGTACAAGAATCAATAAGAAAATGGCAATGTCAAGTACCTTCTTCTAAACTATCAGTCAAATTTACCCTCTAAAATCTTTTTCTCCTGAAGTCTTAGCTGAGTCACCTTTAAACTATGTCCATATTTGGGAATCCCTATCCCTAGTTCTACTGTTGTAAAGACCATATTTTACTATATATATATATATATATATATATATATATATATATATTCTTACTATATATGAGATCCTTGAGGGTTGAGAATATGTCTTATTTTTTAAAAATATATTTTTACTGATTCATAGAGCGAGGAGAAGGGAGAAGGAGAAAAAGATAGAAACATCGATTTGAGAGAGAACCATGATGGGCTGCCTCCTGTACACTCTCCACTGGGGACCAAGCCCACGAAATCCATGCATGTGTCCTGACCAGGAATGGAACCTATGACCTCTTGGTGCATGGGTCGAAGCTCAACCACTGAGCCACACCAGTTGGGCTAGAGAATATGTCTTATTATTATTTTTTTTTAATCCTCACCTGAGGATATTTATTCTATTTATCTTCAGATAGAGTGGGAGGGAGAGAGAGAGAGAAACATCAACGTGAGAGGGACAGATCGAGACACGTGGACTGGTTGCCTCTGGCACCCTGACCAGGGCTGGGACAAACTGCAACCGAGGTACGAGGTACGTGCCCTTGGCTGGAATTGAACCTGCAACTCATTGGTCCAGGCGCCGATGCTCTACCACTGAGCCAAACCGGCCAGGACTGTCCTATTAATCTTTGTATTCTCATCATGATAACTTATAGAAAAGTCTCAGTATTATGTACCCACTATTTCCTCAAAGGAAGGAGGAAGGTGTCTCCTTTGAGCTGGAGAAGAAAACACACAGATTGTAATACTGATAAGACCAACATTTTGAAACAGACTCACTGAATCAGACAAACACAAAAAAAATCCACAAAATTTCAAATTGTTGATATTTCCAGGAAGAAGTTCATGTCCATAACTTGTAAACCCTGATTGTAAAATTTAATATCAATATTATGTCATTTGTAATTCAAAAACATCTTAAATCCTAAATCTTAGAACGCCTAAGTGTCTAAAATTTTTACTTTGCTTCCAGAATGAATACATTGTTTTATAGTTTCCTTCTTTCCTTTATTGTGTAATACCCAAACCTTAAAATGGCTTTATCCACGCATCTTAAAAACAAAATTTAAATCTTATAAATGTTTCAGTTTAAAAAAAGATAAAATGATTCAAATAAGAAAAAACTTCAGTCTGAAACTCCTAAGAATTTTTCTCTTTTTCTCAGTAATGGAGAGAGGTCACAATTGCTTGTGTTCTTTTTTGTGTATATTTTGACCTTTATTTCTTGGATCGCCTTCAATTTGTGTTCCTAGGTAGGTTATTTCATCTCTCTCTAGTCTCCTGCCTCATTCATTGGTAAATATCTCATAGGACTCTTAGGAGAATTTAGTAAGACGATGTGTAAAGTATTTTTGCACAGTACATAGAGCATAGAAGGCACTCAAATGAAAACTGTTATTGTTGTCATTCAGCAGACAAGTAAATTTCTCACGAAAGGCATCACACACACGCACCCGCAAGAGAAATTGTTTGGTGGATTCCCTACAGCAGCCAGGTCCGCTAAAAACCCTGTAGTCTCAGGGCCATCAAGCGCACTAGGAGATCTGCGCTCTCCAACGGGTCTTGGGGAAGCAAAGCTAACACGCATCCTAGTTAGGAAGGCGCCTAGCCCATCCGGAGGGAAAGCCTGAGAGCCTTTACGAGCCCCTGGTGTGTATTTATCACTCAATAAATGTTCATTGAACATCTTTCTGCACCAGGCACCGCACAGCTGGTAACAAGACAGACAGTCCTTGCTCTTGTGGAGAGGACATTCTATTGTATATGCTTTGGTTCACCAACTGCTATCGGAAACATCCTCACAAACATGCTACATATCGCGAAAATTACTATTTCCATAACATAGATGAGAAACTCGGTGCAGAGAAGTTTATGTTAACTCGAGTCAGAGTTCACAGAGTAAAAGGATCGAACTTCAAACACGTCCTGCAGAAGAGCCGCCGCCCAGAGCATTCGGGGGCGTTGAAACCGCAGCCCCGGCAGCTGTGACCCGGAGCCCCTCCCAGCGGACCCTCGGTCTGACCGCGCCGCTTCCGGTCTCCCTACTCCCTGCCTCATCTACGCACGCCCCTCCCCGTGCACGCCCCTCCCCGTGCACGCCCCTCACCTGGCCTCCGAGCGACCCAAAGAGAACAGGGGAAGGGGCGAACCCTGGCAGGTGGAGGCGCTAGCTGCCGGAAGCTGTTCCCTTTGATCCCGGAAGTCCCCCCTCCCGAGAGAGGCGCAGTTCCGGTGAGGCGGCAGAGTTTGTTTACGTTGCTCTCAGATCTAGCGGCTGCTTTCTCTGGCTCATCCGCCAAGATGGGGAAATCCTTCGCCAATTTCATGTGCAAGAAGGACTTTCATCCCGCTTCCAAATCCAATATCAAAAAAGTGAGTAAGGGGAGGTGGGGAGGGTGCTGGCCCTTTGACGGGGTTCCCCAGGGGTGCTGGAAATGGGAGTGGTGGTGGTGTCTCTAGGGTCCCTGGGGCAGTCGCCTCGTCTCCAGGCCTAAAGCTCTGGTGCTCTCGCCCCTTCCCCGCTGAGAAAGTCGTTGACAAAGCTGGCCCTCGACGTTTAGGCGGCCCTAGTCAGCGCTGTTAGCAAGAATGTAAATCCATAAGATACGGTATGAAGACTGAGAATAGGGTTCCTCATTACTACCCTCAGCAGATTCTGGTTTTGCCTTTTCGAACCCCAGGGATCACGGCTTCGGAGCGCCGTTATTCTGTACAAAGAAAACTTCCTCTTTATTTAAGATAAGTAGCTCTTAAAACGGAAATAAAGTCACCCACTTGCTTTCTCTTTTTATCCTACCCCTTAATTTAGCGTCTCTGATGACCTCATTGAAGTTTGGTTTTTTAAGTAATCAATTACATGTCTGCTAGGTGCAGTGAAGAAAAACTGTGCTCAATATTAGAGTAGTGGAAAGCAGAGATGAAGTAGGAAGAGGCTGAGCATTGGAACAGACCTAGATTCTAGTTATTCCAGCAGAGTCACTTTTGGCCCTGACACCTTGCGCAAAATAGTTTCCTCATTCCAGTCACCTTATCTATAAATTAAGAATGATCAGTATCAATTGCCTTAACTTGTGAAATTGTTATAAGGATTAAATAAGATGGTTTAGCTAAAGGCTTTGAAACAAAGTACAACGGAGCAATGTGTCCACCACCGTAGAGGAAATGCTCAATGAAATGTTAGAGTTTCATTCTTGGCCTATGCCTTGCTAACTCTATGTGATTTCCCAAGCAATCACATCCAATTCCATAATTTTGACTACTGCCTCTTTATTCCTGACTCTCAAATCTACAGCCCCAGGTCTCTCCCCCTAGCTCGAGGCACCTCAGAACAATTATATACTTGACAATTTCATTTTGATATCCTATAGGGATCTCAAACTCAACATATCTGAAATGAACTTATCTTTCATCCAAAATCTGCTTTTATGCTTCCTATCTCATATGAGTAGGAAATATAGGTAGTAACACAGTCCTTCACCCAGTCATCCCAGCCAGAAATTAAAGATTCAGCTCTTGCCCATCAACCCTTTATCTTGTCAGCAAATAAATTCTGTTGGGCTTAGCTCCCAAATATCTTTTGAGCCCTCCTCTTTGTCTACTGTCTGTATCTTAGCTTAGACCCTCATTATCTTTCACTTGGACTGTTATGTTTCCTAACTGGTTTTTCTGCCTTGAGTCTTGACCCCTTTCAGATCTGTTCTCTATATAGTCATCAGAATATTTAATTTAGCAGCTTTACTGAGATATAATTTACATACCATAAAATTACCCATTTAAAGTACACAATTCGCCCTGGCCGGTTTGGCTCAGTGGTTAGAACGTCGGCCTGTGGACCAGAGTCTCGGGTTAAGGTCCCACTAAGGGCACATATCAGTTGCAGTTTGTCCCCAGCCTTGGTTGGGGTTGTGCAGGTGGCAGCCACTCTATGTGTCTCTCTCACATCTATTTTTGTCTCTCCCTCCTTTTCTCCCTCCCACTCTATCTGAAGATAAATGCAAAAATATGTCCTCGGGTGAGGATAAAAAAATAATAAAATAAAGTGCACAATTCAACCGGCCGGTGTGGCTCAGTGGTTGAGCATGGACCGGTGCACCAGGAGGTTGTCGGTTTGATTCCCAGTCAGGATACATGCCCAGGTTGTGGGCCAAATCCCCAGTGTGGGGCATGCAGGAGCGGCCAGTCGATGTTCTCTCTCATTGCTGTTTCTATCTCTCTCCCTCTCCCTCCCTCTCTATCTAAAATCAATAAAATAATAATAATAATAATAGTAATAAAGTGCACAATTCGCCCAGCCAGTGTGGATTGAGCATTCTCCCATGGACTGAGAGGTCCAGTTCAATTTCCCATCAGGGCAGGTTTCAGGCTCAGTTCCCAGTAGGGGGCATGCAGGAGGCAGATGATCCATGTTTCTCACATTGATGTTCTCTCTCTCCCTTCCTCTCTCTCTCAAAAAAAAAAAAATCAATAAAAACATATTTAAAAATAAAGTGCACAATTCAGTGGTTTTTAGTATATTTATGAATGTATGCAATCATTACCACAAACAGTTTAAAAATATTTCTATCACCCTCCTCCCCCAAGCCTATATCTGTTAGCAATTCCTCCCCATTTCTCCTTAACCTTCCCTCCTCTCCAGCCATAGGCAACCACTAATCTGCTTTGTTTCTGTAGATTTGCCTATTCTGGACATTTTATATAAATCATGAAATATGTGGTCTTTTGTGAAATACTGGCTTTTTTCACTTAGCATGATGTTTTCAAAGTTTATCTGTGTTGTAGAATGTATCATTATTGCATTCCTTTTTATTCCTGAACATTCGATTGTGTGGATATAGCACATTTATTTGTCCATTCATTAGTGGATGAATATTTGGGTTGTTTCCTTAGAGTAGTCTTTTCAAAGCAAAAAGCCGACCTTGTCCCACTCCTTATTGAAATACTACAGAATTAAGTGCAAGTCATCTGGCTCCAGTTTCTTTTTCCTTTTTTGTCCCCTACTGCTATTCTCCCACCTCAGATTCTAATAATATCAGTCTATTTAATTCCAGTTTTACACCTTTGGGCCTTTGTCTGAGTTGTTCCTTGTGCCAGTAATATCTTACCCTGTTTTTCCCTTGGCAAAATTTTTGATCCTCTTTAAAACTATTTAACATGTATGAAGTTACTTGTGTACAGGGTTATTTATTGCAACAGAATTTTTAATAGCAAAAGATTGGAAGTTTCTTAAATACTAAGTTTCTTAGTACAACAAGAGATTGGTTAAAATGATGGTATAGCCCCACAATAGAATGATATTCAGCTCTGTCCCCCCCAAAATGTAAGAAGGCATTTTGTTGTTTACTGATCTTGGAATGATCTCCATGGTATAGAATTTAATTTTATACATATTTTCTGTGTATATGCAGTATGTGTTACCATTTATGACAAGAGTGAGAAAAGAATATGTGTGGCCTTAGCTGTTGTGGCTCAGTTGGTTGGAGCATCGTCCCCTACACTGGTGTGGTGGGTTCAGTTCCCGGTCAGGGCACATGTAGGTTTCAGGCTCTATCCCTAGTTGAGATGCATTCGGGAGGCAACTGATTGATGTTTCTCTCTCATATTGATGTTTCTCCCTCTCTTTCTCTATCCCTTCCCCTCTTTCTAAAATCAATAAACGTCCTCAGGTGAGGATTTTTATTTATTTTATTTATTTATTTATTTTTTATTTTTATTTTTTTATCCTCACCCGAGAACATTTTTCCATTTTTTATTCAGATAGAGCGGGAGGGAGAGAGAGGAAGAGAGAGAGAGAGAAACATCGATGTGAAGGACACATCGAGTGGCTGCCACCCGCACGACCAACCAAGGCCGGGGACAAACTGCAACCGAGGTACGTGCCCTTAGCGGGAACCGAACTCGGGTCTCTCTGTACCGCAGGCCGACGCTCCAACCGCTGAGCCAAACTGGCCAGGGCAGGTGAGGATTTTTTAAAAAAGAATGTCTTATGTACATGGGGGGCAAAAGTAGGTTCACAGTTGTTCGTATGGAAAATAATACAATAATTAAATAATACAAGAATAAACTGTGTGTTTTGCATACTCACAACTGTAAACCTACTTTTGCCCCACCCTGTATATTCTTTTATGTATATGTGCATTAGAACATCTTTGGAAGGATATAGATATACAAAAAATGGGTAAAATTGGCTACCTGTGAATATAGTTACTTAATTTTTAAAAATTAATAACTTTTTAAAACCCAAAGTTACTGTAAAGCATTCCATTGTACTAGCCTTTCTTCCTGCTCCCTCAAGTCAATCACTGTCTTGTTCTATTTCATTATCTTGTACATATTTCTGTTATCAAAATATCAATTTTTTTTTTTTATCCTTATCTGAGGACATTTTTGCATTTATATTCAGACAGAGCGGGAGGGAGAGAGGGTGGAAGAGTGAGAGAAACATCAATGTGAGGGAGACACATCGAACTGGTCACCACCTACACAACTGGGGCCGGGGGCAAACTGCAACTGAGGTACGTGCCCTCGGTGGGAACCGAATCCAGGACTTTCTGCTCCACGGGCCAACACTCTAACCACTGAGCAAAACTGGCCAGGGCCAAGTATCAAATTTTATTGTTATTATTTATTTGTATAATTCACATATTTTATTTTTTATTATACATAGCTTAAAATTACAGAAAAGTTAGTTTGGTTTTCTGTTAGTAGATTCTGAGCATTTTGAAGGCAAGCATATGCTTTATTACTTTTTATTCCAGCCTGTGATAAACACTGTATTTAAGCTCTTGAGCAATTGAGACAAGTAAAATACTTTGTGAAATCTAAAGCAAATAAATGGTTATTATTCTGTTAGAAATAATATGTTATTCATGAGACTATTATTAATATGTTATTCTGCCAGGCATTTCTCTGCTTCGACTGTGTTTGCATTTTGAGCCACAGTGAAAATTCCAAACATATGACTTTTACTGCCTATCCCAAGTGTAGGTTTTTCTTCTACTATATAACAGTACATTGTTAAGTATGAAATCTGGAAAAAACTTTCAGGAACTTATACCAAAATAAATTTCTGGTATATTCTGTCCCTGAGGGGTTCTCTTTTCATTTCAAATTTTGCTTTTATCTTCATATTAATCTTGTTCAAATCTCAAACTGTGTCCCCATAGAACCTTCCTATCTCAACACTATTAAAATACTAATAGCTACATTTTTTTTTTTGCTTCTTCTGAAGTTGAATAATAGCAGTCTTGCCCCACATCCTTCTCCCCACACTCATCTGCCCTCACCCACAGTTAATAATTATAATTTTATCAGTGTAAGTATTTGTCCTCAAATTTACCTTCTTAAAACTTAGCATGTTTGGAGAAAAAGTTTTTACTTTTTGTTTTTGTTGAATGGTGGTCAGATACTTTGTCCTTTATTCTAAAGGTGGTGGGAAGGCATTGGTACCTTTTAGACTTATAAGTAACATGAGTAAATAGCCTTGAATAAGTTGTGTGGGCTTTTTACCTTCACCACTTTTATGGTTTTGAGAATTTCACATAGGAACACATTCAGCTTATGATGTTGGTGCCTTTCAGACATCTGATGCACTTCTTTCTTGTCTCTTTGTTTCTCTCTTGTCTCTTACTTTTTTTCTACAACTATCTTTCATTTCCTTTTCTTTTTTCCTCTTCCTTGTCCTTTATTTCGCCTCTCTTGGGGTAACAGTGACACCCATTGGCACCCATAGCCATTGTTTAACCCTACTGGTTTTAGCCAGTATGTTTTCCAGTCTAGACATATCACATGTAGAGAAATGGTTGTTCTCCTCCCTGAAATAACACAGAGACTGAGTACAAAAAGCTATTGTATCACAGGTGTTCAGAGTGGTTCTCAAGGTTGGCATTTTTGCTTGAAAGTTTAGATCCTTTGAGTGGTTGGACTTAAGGACTTGTACAGAGGCACAAATCAGACTTTTCAGCTGTTATTTTGTGATAGTGTCATTATGACCAAAGTAAATTATGTTGTAAACTATATACAATAGCATTTTATTATAAAAGAAAAGCAAACTTCCTATTTAATTTAAATTTTTTATTTTAGGTATGGATGGCAGAACAAAAAATATCATATGATAAAAAGAAACAAGAAGAATTAATGCAACAGTATCTTAAAGAACAAGAATCATATGATAATAGGTAAGAAATTTCACTATGCTGGTGGTTTTATTTTATTTATGTATTTAATTTTAATTTTATGTTGTTGTTTTTTTAATCCTTACCTGAGGATATGTTTTATTGATTTTTTTTAGACAGAGATGAAGGGAGAGAGGGGGGTGAGAGGGGAGAGACAGAGAGAAACCTCAATATGAGAGAGAAACATCATTCGGTTGCCTCTCGTACATGCCCCAGCCAGGGATCAAACCCACAACGTAGGTATGTGCCCTGACCAGGAATTGAATCTGCCACCTTTTGGTGTACAGTGCTACCTCCAACCAACTGAGCCACCTGGCCAGGGCTATGCTGGTGATTTTAGAACAATGTTTTGCACCCAGCTGGTGTGGCTCAGTGGTTGAGCATCAATCCATGCACCAGGAGGTCACCAGTTCAATTCCCAGTCAGAGCACATGCCCAGGTTGTGGGCCAAATCCCCAGTGGGAGGCATGTAGGAGGCAGCCAATCGATGTTCTTTCATCGATGTTTCTCTCTCTCTCTCTCCGTCTCCCTTCCTCTCTCTCTAAAATCAAAAGAAAAAAAACTTTTTTTTTAAAAGGATAATCTTTTGCGTGAGAATGAGTGCTTACTAAATCATATGGTAAATTAGCCTTTTTGAATTGAATGTCTTAATGATAGGATTCTATTCCCTGTGAACTATCTTTACTCTTATATTTATAGATGGCCACTTACCCATAATTCACATAAAATATATTGATGTGACTCTATATATAGCCTATGATCAAGTCCCAACTTAAGCAAAGCTTAGAAGAACAATAAAAGTCTACACTGAAACTACTGAGACCTCTCACAAAGATATTTCTTTAAAATACACTGAAATGAAAAGATGCACAGGAAGCTTCAAGAAGTAAAGTGAAGTGTCTTTACTTGACCTACATGTAATTATTCTATTCATTGCAGGATTCTGGCTAGAGTTCTTCGTTGGTTTCTTCCAGCAAAGTACCTGCCCTTTAGCTATTGTCATTTTATATGTGTATTTGCAAGTCTACCTCTGAAGATGGTTTTTCTTGGTTAATCAAGCAAGTGAATAGTGGTGCTTTAGTTACATGGAGCATACTCTCACTTCTACTCAGTCCTGTTTTTTATCAAAATACAGAGCTTAAGCCCTGGCCATTGTGGCTCAGTTGGTTGGCTATTGTCCCATGCACTGAGAGGTCACTGCTTCAATTCCTGGTCAGGGCACATGCCCGAGTTGTAGGCTCAATCCCCAACAGGGGGCATACAGAGGCAGCCAATTGATGTTTCTCTCTCTCTCCTCCCTTCCTCTCCCTCTAAAATCAATAAAAACATATTTTTACAAAATACAGAACTTAAGCAAAGTAATACTGAACTATTACTACTAACTATTCTCTTTAAAATAAAGCATATTGAGAGCAAAAATTAAAGAAATAATACTTTTAGCCCTGGCCAGTTTTGCTCAGTGGTTAGAGCGTCGGGCCTGTGGTCCCCAGAGACCCAGGTTCAGTTCCCGCTAAGGCCATGTATTTCAGGTGCAGTTTGTCCCTGGCCCTGGTTGGGTTGTGTGGGTGGCAGCCACTCGATGTGTCCCTTTCACGTCAATGTTTCTCTCTCTCTCTCCCTTCCACTCTGTCTGAACAAAAAAATGGAAAAATGTCCTCGGGTGAGGATAAAAAACAAATAAAAATAAATAAATAAAAAAGAAATAATACTTTTAGTTCAATTAAGTACCATTCTCACTATTTTTATTTAATCTGGTTAACTTTTATTGAGTACCTACTTCATGCAAGACAACAAAGGGTGTAGGGGCCTATGAAAGTGTGATAACAGTTTCTCTCTACCCTCAAAAAAATCTAGAAAGGGATATATATATATGTGTGTGTGTGTGTGTGTGTGTGTGTGTGTATATATATATATATATATATAATGTGTGTGTGTGTGAGTGTAGTTTTTTTTTGTGTTTTGTTTTTATCCTCACCCAAGAACATTTTTGCATTTATCTTCAGATAGAGCAGGAGGGAGAGAAGGGGGAAGAGAGAGAGAGAAAAACATCGACGTGAGAGACACATCGACTGGTTGCCACCCACACAACACCAACTGGGGCCAGGGACAAACTGCAACCAGGATACATGCCTTTAGCAGGAAACGCACCTGGGACTCTCTGGTCTATGGGCCAATGCTCTAACCGCTGAGCCAAACCATGTATTAAAAACACACTGCTTTAAAAACTATAGCATGTTAATATAGGACAGAGTAATTCTATTTGGGATAACAAGGTAAGACTTCAGGAAAGAGGTGACATTTAAGCTGAACTATAAAGAATGATAAGGATTTACATTAGTGATTCTCAATTGAGGGCTATTGTTGCCCCCCTGGGGACAGGTGGCAATGTTTGGACACATTTTTTATTGTCACAACTCAGGGGTTAGGTGCTACCAGCATCTAGTAGGTGGAGACTAGGGATGCTGAAAACAGCTTACAATGCATGGGACAGCCCCACACAACAAAGAATGATCTAGTTGGAAATGTCAATAGCACCACCATTGAGAAACCCTGATTTACATGTAGTAAAAGCTTATTAAAGATCAGTACAGTGGGAAAGTAGAGGGGGTGTTCAGGAAACGGTCAATAATTTAGTTAGACTGATAGAGATATAGTGTAGGTAGAAAAGTAGCTTTGTGGTGTATCATAGTGTGTTTATTCTTTATTTTTAAAAACAAGTTATTATTTTTCTTTGGTAATTAGTAAATATTTGAAGTTATGCAAATATCCTGTTTCTCCTAGAACTTTCGCCCACTAGTTTTAGCGTTCATTGGTGGATCTTGCCTACATCAGTTATTGCTGTGGTTTTCTAACAGTGATTTTCTGTTTCTCTCATTCCTGCTAAATTTTTTACTTTGCATTGCTCTGGAAAGAAACAATTTCCCTTTCTCTCATTTAATTATTCATTTAATCATTTATTTCTATCAGTGTGGACTTAAAGTTATTTCAGGTTTCATCTGAGTGGAGTAAAGTTTTAGAATTTTATCTCTAACAAAAATACCTTAATTCCCTTTGGGTTTTTAGAGGTTGGGGGACAGTGATCTGTAATTTTTTCCCTCCTACATAAAATTGTTAACCTTACATCTTATTTTATTTAGATTGCTTATGGGAGATGAACGTGTAAAAAATGGCCTTAATTTCATGTATGAGGCCCCACCAGGAGCTAAAAAAGGTACATCATTTTTTTTTTTTTTAAGTCTTTGATGTGTTTGCAACTAAAGTTTGAGGACTGTTATGACAGACATTTTTTAAGTTGCTCTTTATCTTTTAAAATTGCTACTATTTACCCGGCCAGTGTGGCTCATTGGTTGAGCTTTGACCCATGCACCAAGAGATTGCTGGTTCGATTCCCAGTCAGGGCACATGCCCAAGTTGTGGGCCAAATCCCAGTGAGGGGCATGAGGTAGGCTGCCAATCGATGTTCTAGCTCATCGGTGTTTCTATCTCTCCTTCCCTCTCCCTTCTTCTCTCTCTAAAACCAATAAAGAAAAATATGTTTTTAATAAATAGATAAAATTGCTGTTATTCTGTAAAAATAATTTTTGAAAATGCTGTAATCAATAGAATAAATACTAAAAATATTTGTCTAATATAGTAATATTTCATGACTTGTTTAGGAAGGAAAACGATATCAGCTGAAGTGTATTTATTCTTTTATAATTTATGTATATATCTTTAGTCCTTACTGAATGTACTTGTAAATAGAAAGCAAAATATTAACTGTCAATAAAAAATATAAAAGTTTAGTCCTGGCCAGTTTGGCTCAGGGGTTGGAGCATCGGCCTGCAGACCAAAGAGTCCTGGGTTTGGTTCCCTCTAGGGGCATGTACCAGAAAAAAGAAACGAAAAATATAAAAGTTTAAATATTAGGAATTACATGCTTATTAAATACAATTTCTTATTTAATATTGTATTTTATTCTTCAGTGATTTGAATTGTATATTAAAAACCAGTAAATTCTTACATGTTACATTAAGTATCATATCACATTATAAAATATGATAGACTTTTATGAAGTTTTTAACTTGATCTACGTTTTTTCTCCCCATATTTTTGATATGCAATCAAGAAAATAAAGAGGTAAATTATTATTTTCTATGTTTGAATTTACTTGCAATAGATTGTAACTTTATGAAAAAATTGAAAGACTTTTATTTTTTTAGAAAGAAGAAACAGAAGGAGAGACCGAATACAAATTTGAATGGCAGAAAGGAGCCCCACGAGAAAAGTAAGAACTGGTTTTCTTTAAAGATAGAATATATATCATAAATTCATCTGATATCCCATTTATTTTGTATTGTCTTTTTTATTCACTAAAGAAGGCATCTAATATGAAATGGTATTTTCAGTGATTTGTCTTATGCAATTAATTTGCCTGATCATAGTCTTTAGTTTTATTTTATTTTAATTTTTTAATTACAAATCATTAGACTGGACACTTAATAACTAAGTGGTATTTGGAAATACTAAACAGATTTTATAGTTCTATATATTTATTACAGTTATATATTTTGTAGTGTTCCCAGAACTATAAAACTGTTTTTCAGAAAAACTGCTATTTATTAAATTATTCTTAATATTGTGTTTGTACATTTTTCTCTACCTAATAGGTATGCCAAAGATGACATGAATATTCGAGATCAGCCCTTTGGTATTCAGGCAAGTAACACATATTTTACTCTGTAAGAATAATTTTTATTTAATAAATGCCTCTTAATATTGTTGTCCAAAAGGTATTTAAGCTGAGAGGGGGCTCTTTGGGTATTTTTTTTTTTTTCTTCATCACCATTTATCACCTCTAATATGGTTTCTATTTATATCAAATAATAGAAGGGCTAGGGGAGAAAACATAAAATGTAATAGACTGATGAAAGATAGAAATCAAAATTTGTAGTGAGGGTTATAATGATAATGGTCTCTGCAGTTTTCAAGGAATTTGGAGAATTAGCTCAAGGTCCAGAAAAGATGCAAAGTTATTTGTTTTGAACTGGGACAAGCTATTGTCAGAGAGCCAGATCCTTGTTATAAATAACATTTTTTGGAATACTGCCAAGCTTACTCATTTGCATGTTGTCTCTGGCTGCTTTCCTGCTACAATGGCAGAGTTGAATATGTAGTTGCAACAGAGACCTCTGGCCCATAAAGCCTAAAATATTTACTGCCTGGCCCTTTACAAAAAGTTTGCCAACCCCTGGTTCAGGAAATTGAAACTTTAAAGGTTAACTTTTTAAATTTAGAGAATTTAAGATTAAGCCATGACTTAATTATTATTATTATTATTTTTTTAATTTTACCATTTCTTTTTGGTTACATTGTTTTATTGCCATGAAATAACAGTCAAAAATAGATAGAATTTAGCTTAGCTTTTAGGCAGAATTTATAGTGAAAGATCTTAGTATTTATGTTAAATTACAGCATATAATTATGAAGTCTCCTTCTCTGGAGATCCTTTTTTTAAAAATATTTTTTATTGATTTTTTTTAGAGAGACATAGAAACAGTAATGTGAGAGAGAAACATGGATCGGCTGCTCCTGCAAATCCCCCACTGGGGATCGAGCCCACAACCTGGACATATGCCCTGATGGAGAATTGAACCAGGACCTCTCAGTCCATGGGACGATGCTCAGTCCACTGAGCCACCCCGGCTGGGCTCTCAGGAAAGCTTTTAAAAATTAGAATAAGTTAATTTAAACTCTATCATAGAGTAGGGAGTCAAACATTGGTTAGATTTTTAGTATTTCAATAACCAAAATAATGTTCACTGATTTTCAGGTTCGAAATGTGAGATGCATTAAATGTCACAAATGGGGTCATGTCAATACAGATCGAGAATGTCCTTTGTTTGGCCTTTCTGGAATCAATGCAAGTTCAGTTCCCACTGATGGCTCAGGTATGCATTAGACATGATTTATTTGTTTGTTTTAGAATGTATATCGAGGACAAGTAAGGAAAGATAATATACCATTTTTCTTTAGTCTTTCTGGGTATTCTGTTTTGGTTGGGGATTTTGGATTAAGGCACATTTCCAGAATATTATGGTCAATGGGAAACTCTGATTATATGTTTTGAATTTGAAAGGCAATATATTAGAATTAAATTTAATGTTTCTAGCCAAGGGCCTCTAGAAAGACATATTAAACATAGTTTATCAGGTTAATAACCTAAAAATAGCAGGAAGAAATGGTTATTTCTCATATTTATGTCCTCCTGAATTATAAAAGTAGGTTGGTCTAGAAGCTTCAGAAATCACCTCGTTTTAGTTCAGGGATAAAAATCAAAACTGAGTTTAAAAAGATGTTAACTATGTTAAAATTTGTTTTTATTTGAAAATTATTTACCTTCCTACATATTATTGTCTACTTAAGAAAGATTGATCTAATTTGTCTTGTATCATTTGGGTTCTTTTTATAAAAAGGTATTAAAACAGAAGTTTTAACTTAAATTTATCAGTGCTTTGTTAGTATATTATTGAGATAGCCACACTAATCCAACCATAACTCATAATAAATTATAATAGAAATAACCTGCTTAACCCTATATCATTACACAAGTAATTTCACTTATATAAACTTCAACTCTTCATTTTATAATTAGGACTTGATAGTATAATTCAGGAGATTTTCAACATTTTTTAAGCAGCTATAAAATCTTTTTTTTCTTTTTGATATTTTAGAAAAGATATCTTATATGAAACCCAGTATATAGAACATATAAAGGCAGAGCTGCTCTGTTGAAGCAAATGTTCTGGCCATGAAGCCCCATCCTCAGCTCATCTAAGCCTCTAATGCACTTCTCTCCCCCTCCCTTTCTTGATTTTTTAGATAGAGAGAGAGAAACATCAATTGGTCACCTCCTGCATGCTCCCCACTGGGGATCTGGCCCACAACCCCCCATGTGTCCTGACTGGGAATTGAACTGGTGACCTCTTGGTGCATAGGTTGATGCTCAGCCACTGAGCCACACCAGCTGAACTGATGCATCTCTTTATACTCCCTGTGGTTTCCACTGCTACCTCTGAGCCCAGGGTTCACCTCGTCAGCATATGACCTTCACTCTCTAGTCTATAATTAGAGATCCTGCTTTCTTCCAGCAAGCCAAATGTAGGCTTTAGGATCAAGATGCCAGTTCTTGTATTAGGAGTTTAGAAATTTGATCCATTATCAAATTTGACACTATTTCTTTTTTTCTTTTTTTTGAGATATCATCTCACACCTGCTAGACTAGCTATCATAAAAAAAAAGAAAAAAAAAAGAGATAATAAGTGGTAGCAAAGATGTGGAGAAAAGGGAACCCTTGTACATTAGTGGTGGAAGTTCGCAAAAATTAAAAATAAAACCATCGTATGATCCAACAATTCTACTTCTAGGTATCAGAAAATAAATAAAATTGCTATCTTAAAAAGATATCTGCATCCCCATGTTGAATGCAGCATTATTCACATTAGCCAAGACATGGATACAACCTAAGTGTCCATCAACAGATGAATGGATAAAGAAAATGTGATATATATAATGAAATATTATCCAGCCATAAAAAAAGAAGGAAATCCTGGCATTTGCAACAACATGGATAGACTTTGAGGACATTATGCTAAGTGAAATAAGTCAGAAAAAGATAAATACTATATGATGTCATTTACATGTGGACCTTAAAAACAAACTCATAGAAACAGAGAATAATAGGTTGATGGTTCCAGGCAAAGGGGGATGGGGATGGGGGAAGGTGAGAAAGTAGGCAAAATGAATGAAGTGCTCAAAAGCACATGTAAGCCCTAAGGATGTAGCCCTGGGCAGTTTTTCTCAGTGGTTAGAGCACGGACCCTCAGACTGAAGGGTCTCGGGTTTATTTCCTAGTCAAGGGCATGTCCCTGGGTTACAGATCCCAGCCCTGGTTGGTCATGCGGGTGGCAGCCATTTGATGTGTTCCTTTCACGTCGATGTTTCTCTCTCTCTCTCCCTCCCACTCTATCTGAACAAAAGATGGAAAAATGTCCTCAGGTAAGGATAAAAAAAATGTTTTTTTCTTTATTGATTTTTTAAAGAGAGAGGAAGGGAGAGGGAGAGAAACATCAATGAGAGAGAACATCGGTTGGCCACCTCCTGCATGCCCCTCACTAGGGATTTGGCCCACAATCTGGGCATATGTCTTGACCGAGAATCGAACTCTTGGTGCATGGGTTGACACTCAACCAGTGAGCCACACAAGTCGGGCAAGAAGCCACTTTTTTTTTTTTAATCCTCGAGGACATTTTTGCATTTATCTTCAGATAGAGCAGGAGAGAGAGAGGGATAAAGAGAGAGAGAGAAGCATCATGTGAGAGAGACACATCGAGTGATCGCCACCCACACAGCCCCAACTGGGGCTGGGGACAAACTGTAACTGAGGTACATGCCGTTAGGAGGAACCAAACCCAGGACACTCTGGTCTGCAAGCCAACGCTCTAACCATGGAGCAAAACTGGCCAGGGCAGAAGCCACGTTTTAATTAAGGGAAAACTATTTGCTCTGTGGTGAGAGAATATTAATACAGACCTTGGTCTGACAAAAAGAACATCTCATGGATGCCACAATGTAGGTATCTTAAAGCCCACCTACTGATGGTGCTCTTTGCTCCCCTGCCCCTATCCAATTGAAAGAAGGGTGAGAGGCCCCAAAAGAAATAAAGCCCCCCAAAAAATGGGGGTGGAGTAGGTCATTTATGAAGAACCCATGAGCTCAAATATTTCTGACCACTAATTTTAGTTGGCAGGGATCAGTTGTTACATATGAATGATATATTCTGTTTCCTGGAAAGGGTTGTATCTTTCTTATCTTTTCCTTCACTCCAACCTTGTGGTGCCCTTACGGTTGCATGACTCCTGTGTTGGATAAGGGTGGACAGTGGTAGTAGCTGTCTTTGTTCCTTGACCTCATCTTTGACCCTGCTTCTGAGAGAATGAGTAGGATAGATTCCAGACTTAGCCCTTTATGTAGTGATCGATTAGACCTACTTCCTCTTGAGTGTGTATTAGAGTCTGCTAACAATAAACAAAGGAACTTGTGCTATTTGGTTAACCTGTTTTTAAGAGTACTGAAAACAGTGAATTCAGATATAATGAAGCTGGATTGGCTCTTCTTCAGCCCTCCATTTATACTTATTAACCTTACAATAACTCAGTCGTTCATTTTATGCAATCAGAGTTTTTGGGCCCCACTTATGGTGGGGTTTTACTGTAGTACTATTTTTCAATCAAATGAACTTTTTCAAAATAAAATGAATGAAGTAAAAAAAAAAATGCTCAAGATTTTGGCACCTGTCGAATATTCACACATGTAACCACCCTTGAGAAGTCTACAAATTAGTGACTCTCTCTCTAAATAAATTGAGCAGTGGAGGATCGTAAAGGGTGAAAAGTATTACCTTTATTGAAATACTGTAGTTAATATACTTAATATATACAGTGTTCTTTCAAGTTGGAAGATGAACATACAAATTCAGTGGAGCAAAGGACATACATATTGGTGGTTTACAGAAAGAGGGGTTCAAATAGCCATTCAAGCTATGACAACATTTTAACAGCATTAGTAACCAAAGAAATGAAAACTAAAGTAATATGTTATCTTTGCCCATCAAATTTGGTAAAGATTTAAAAGAACTATACATCCAGTGAGCCCTGGCCAGTGTGGCTCAGTGGTTAGAATGTTGGCCCACACACTAAAGGGTCTTGGGTTTGATTCCTGGTCAAGGGTTCATACCTGGCTTACAGGTGTGATCCCCAGTCCTGGTTAGTGCACATGCAGGAGGCAACAAATCAGTGTGTCTCTCTCACATCAATGTTTCTCTCTCTCTTTCTACATCTCCCTCCCCCATTCTCCCTGACACTCTCTCTGAAAATCAATGGGAAAAATATTCTCAGGTGAGGATTAACAAAAAAAAAAAAGAAAAGAAAAGAAAAGAAAAGATATTAAGTGAATAATTATGGGCTATTAACAATAGAATGCTATACTATTCAGCTATTAAAAATGATATGAAGACTGCTTAATGGTATGGATGTTGTTTATAACATTTGGTCAAAGAAAAAAGATTATAAAACAAAGTAGTTATATGGGTTCCATTAGTGTTTCTTTTTATAGTTTTAAGTAAACATATAAACAGATACTTACAGAAAAATGCCTGGAAGGAGATAACCCAAGATATTAATAGCAGTTGTACATTTGTAATTTTAAGTGAATATTATTTTAGAAGAATTAAAAATTATACATAGAAATAAATTATATAAAATTGTATTGCTTAGTTAATACCTTTAAAGTTTGACCTGAATTTAGCAGGGCCACAAAACTAACACCAATAGAAACTCAAAGGTTTCTCAAAAACAAAATTGAAACTCGACTATAATCAAATAGAAAAGCAAGTAATAATGATGTTATATTCTGAATTTTAATGCAATGAAAAACAAACTGCCCAATTTCTTAATCCACTTGCTGATTCAATCTAAAAAATCTTTTCATTTAAAAAAATCACCAGTTGAATAATGTCTCCCCAGTGAATAGAGATTATTTTTGCAATAAGGCAATTTCAGTGGATGTGGTTATCGTGTGATAATCACACTCCTGGGGTATATAGCCTTGTGCCTGTAATCTCCCAGGAGTGTAATTATTTCATGATAACCGTACCCCCTAGTGTTGCATTATTTCTATTATGAAATTCTTAGTTTAGTATATAAAGTAACTTACTTTGATCATTGGAAACTGCAAGGTGCTGTTAAAATGTTCCAGCTGTGAGGTTTACAGAGACTGACTATAAGATTTACTTCTCCTTTACAAAGTTAAATTAGGCAATCAAAATGCTTCTTTTGGCTAAGCTGGTTTACAGTACCTTTTCTACTGATAAGATCATTTTAACTTTCAAGTT